CAGAGGGGTCACCAGGTGAGAAGAAGAAATCCATCCCATAATCCCATTTTTCTCATTTAATTAATTAATTATTGAATTAATGTTGACATTTTCCATATTTAAATAAAGGGGTATCTGATTAAATTTGGTGGGAATGCAATGCATGCGTCTGGGAGGGAATAATTAAGGGAGTTGGGCTTTTAATAAATGTTGGGTTTTGGGCTTTTAAATCGACTTTCTGTGTAAATTGTGGGGTTTGAGGATTTGACTGATTAATTTAAGCTAATGAGAAAGTAAATAAAAATGGATAAAAAAGTAGAAAGACCGTCTGCGACTCTGAATCTATCTGTGTGTATTTTTGGCGCAGACACCGGTGGACGGGTAGATATGAAGCGCATCTATGGGATAACAGCTGTAGAAGAGAGGGTCAGGCCAGGAAAGGGCGTCAAGGTCTCTTTCTCTCTCTCATTTTCTGCATTCTGTGTTAATAGATACAGTATACGAACATGTGTAATTGTGTACACTCATAAGTATGGAGATTTTCTAGTATGCTTCGGTATATCTTAATACGCCCTGGTGTTTTTGTGTACCGCTATGTGTAGTTGTTAAATCTTTGGTCTGATGCGATAATGAAGATACACGGTCAAAAATGTTAGTGTGTTTCGTAGCATTTTCGTACACATAATGCATAGAGTAAAAACTGTAGCTCTGAAAAGAAGCTTGCATGCAGATGCAGTATACAAAGGCAAAACCAATGAATCAAATTTAATTGGAAAGAAACTTTCTTTTTCATTAGTCTCGCTAGTCTCGCTAGTCTCGCATGATTGATTGACGCTGCTATCTATGTACCACAAATTGGTACGTTCGTTTACTGTTTCGTGTTTTCTGAGTTTCCCCTCTTTTCTTTTCTTGTCTCTTCCTTCTTTTTTTTGAGAATTTTTAATCTTTACGATGATAAATGAACGGACACGATGAAGTTTTCGAATCCTCACAAAAAGAATGCCGATAGGATCCTATTTCCTTTTCTTTTCATTTCTCTGATTATATTTCTTTCTTTCAATCAATCTTTTGACATGATCAGATGGGCCGCCATTTTGTTCATCTGGGTTTTTAAATTTCCTTGCTTTGTTGTCTCACAGTTTCTTCCATCTCCTTCTTCTCCACCTGTGAATTTACAGAATTGCAGAGCTCAGCGACTCTGATATTTTTCTGACCACCTTCAACTTTTGCTTTTGCTTTTACTTTCATCTCCCTCTCTCTACAATTTTGGGTTTGACCGAAGCACCCACTTGAATTGGTTATTATATTATACTCCTTTATCAACGCCGAAACTTGTTGAAAGTGACCTCCCTGGACCGAAGCCTGATAAAGTGCGAGACCTAGATTCTGGTCCATACTTGGTAAACTTGATATGTGTTGTAGGATGGGGGATCCTCACATTTATCTATTCATTATACATTTTGCAGTCAATATTTATTAAATGTTGTTTATGTTTAATTTTAAATAAATTAAAATTAAAATGATTTTTGATCACACGATTTATGATAAATAAATAAGATATAAAGATCTTTTAAGATTCTCATAAAAGGAATCCGGATGGGTTCCAAATCCATGTATAGCTACATGTACTATTGCCTGTGAGGTAAAAGGTTAAATAAATATTGGAGTGTAACTTAGACAAGCTGAGTCCAAAAAGTAAAAGAGTAGTTGTGAGTGGGACTTTTATCGCTAATTTCACACTAATTGATACGAAATTCATTTAAATTATGATTAGTAGAATTCAAACTTATGCGCAAAGTAAAGAGAAATTATTGTTTTAACTAACTTGATTAACTTCAAATCTATGAAGATTATCTATTTTAGCTGAAAATTTTGACTGCTATTTAAGCTGATGTTGAATTCTTTTGACTTTTTTGCATAAAATGTGGGTTATGAATATATTGCTGTCACTCAACTACTGATCCGGCTCTACAGTTTACTTGGGTAAGAAATTTATATTTATAAAAATAAATTTGCTTCTAATTATGTGACTTATATTTAAAAGCTGATTAAACTTTGTGAAATTGTCAGGTGGATATGACAAGGAAGATAAGGCAGCAAGGGCTTATGATTTGGCTGCTCTCAAATACTGGGGTCCTACCGCGACCACCAACTTCCCTGTAATGCACAAAGAATTAATTCTAATATTTCGAATGTTCTTTAGTACTGAGAAGGTGGGCGGCGAAGTACTTAACAATTTGGTTTTCAAATTCTCAGGTTTCAACTTACAGCAAAGAACTGGAAGATATGCAGCATATGACCAAGCAAGAATTCATTGCCTCTCTCAGAAGGTTTGCTCTGACCGATCCCCTTCGGAATTCCTCCCCCCCCTCCCCCCGCGTATGTTATGTGCGGTTAATTAAACATTTCTCCCCAATTTTTCACTTGCAGGAAAAGCAGTGGTTTTTCAAGAGGTGCTTCTATTTACAGAGGGGTTACAAGGTCAGTACATCGATATTCAAATCATTCTTCGTTACATTTTGTTTCTTAAACCCTGAATTGTTATATATGTTACATAAGCAAGTTGTATTTCATTTATGCATTGTTTAATTCAATATTGCAGGCATCATCAACAAGGCAGATGGCAAGCAAGAATAGGCCGTGTTGCCGGGAACAAAGACCTATACCTTGGAACATTCGGTAACGACTTTAACCAGCATGTTTTGTTTGGATCTCTATAGTACTTTTTTGGCTTAAAATTACTTCACAGTGACATACTGATTACTTGAGACAAATTCAAGTCTCCCGAGTTGATCTTAATTTTGTTTCTAAACCCTAAGCATGAATTCTTTAGATACCCTGATTGATTTGTTAGTTTTTATCTGGATTCGTCTGATACCGCACCACATTGAAATTGGATGCTTCCTGGTCTTTGGAAGAGAATTATCCTGCACATTTTGATAATGTCCTGGCCTTTTATTGTGGACAGCTACTGAAGAGGAGGCCGCTGAGGCGTATGATATAGCGGCCATAAAGTTTAGGGGTATTAATGCGGTTACAAATTTTGAGATGAACCGATACGACGTTGAAGCTATTGGCAAGAGTTCTCTTCCTGTTGGCGGGGCAGCAAAGCGCTTAAAGCTCTCACTCGAAGCAGAAGAGCAGAGACCATCTGTGAACCATGATCAGCAGCATCCTCAATGCAGCATTGGCAGCAACATCAATTTCACTTCCATGCAGCCAGTTCAATCCATACCATGTGGGATCCCATACGATGCTGCAGCTGCCAGCACTTACTATCACCACCTCTTCCACCAATTTCAACCCAACAACTATGGCGCGTCGGATTCAGCTGGACTAAACCCTAACATTGCAACTCAGATGAGCATGATGCCGCAGCAGCCAGCTGAGTTTTACATTTGGCCTAATCACCAATCCCATTGATAAGAGTACCAAACAGTAGTCGTCTGCGATAGGATTAAACAGAACTTGTTGCATTAGCATGTTAGCCGCTAACATTATCCGGCTGACCAACATCTGACCCTCACTCCAATCCACCTCTCAACCTTAGGATTTAGGATTAGGAAAGGCATAGGAGGTTTTTTGTTTGGAGGCTAAAGTTCTGGACAGACAGTAGGAAGCTGGGTTTTGTATCTACGGTGGGAAATGTGGAATGTTGTTGTCCATTACTTTGTTTAAGAATTTTCTCTTTGGATGTCTTTCCACGCTTGCATTCTCTTTGATTTTGTTCGTTTTTCATCTCCACATATAATATATGAATTCAGATCAGAGAAGGCCCGGGGCAGAGGTTCGAGCTGCCGATGCCGGACTGGTTGTCGGACTGATCGGTAGGGCAAAAAACTAAGGACAACACAATGCGCAACTCTCTAGCCCACTTGCCTAATATGAATTTGCTAATACGATATTTAAACAACTTTGAACTAAAACAAAAGATTTTGAACTCGGGTGCAAAAAGAGATATGCTCTAACCAACTTGCCTAATCTACTCTACGTGTGCTACAACCAAGGCTTATTCTGTATATTTTTACCATGTGAAAGAAAATTCATTACATACTGCTGCTCAAGGAAAAACAAATCTTACAAATACTTTGTTACAAAAATATGGGCCTTTAAACCCGAAAAGTTCATACAATCCATCAAATTATACCAATTTCATGGGCTAGGATCCTAAGCGATCCAAGCCTTGACTGGCCAAATCCGACCCGGAATCAACCGTCAAGGCCCGCTCAAATGCGTCTATGGCTTCATCCCTCATGCCCTTCCACTCGTAACACTGACCCAAAAGACAAAATGCCGTCGCATCCCCCTCCGCCCGACCCAGCTTGACCGCATCCACCAGGTCTTCAACCGCCGAGTCCACCCGGCGCCTCCGGTTCAGCCCGAGCTTCAACTCGGCCCTCTTCACCAAAGCGTCCCCGCGCTCCTTCTCCGAGAGCGACTTCACGCAAGGCGGCGACAGAGCCGCGTCGAGCGATTTCAGCGCCGACGTTTTGTGCCCCAAGAGATCGAGCGACAGGGCTTTGAGGATGTGTGGGCCCGGGTCCCTGGGCGACAGAGACAGCGCCTTCTCGGCCTCGGTCAGGGCGTTTTTGGCGTGGGCCTGAGATTGGGCCTTGTGAGGAGTGGATCGGGCTCGGGTCAGGAGATGCGACCCGTGGACGAAGTGGCGGGTCGATTGGAGGTTGGCTCGGTTGTTGGTTCGGAGCTTGGTCAGGACGTTTCTGGAGAGGTTGTGTATGGCGAAGAACATCGCTAGGGTTAGGATCAGAAGGCCGACCTGCAGCACTACCTCCGGTGTCATTAGATCGAACGGCGGTGATTGAATCCAATTGGATCTGGGTCGTTGATTTGAGTTTCGTACAGAGAACAGAGGCGAACTGAACCTTGGTGGTAAATTTACTGGTTGGTGTTTGTGTATAATGATGTGCAGGGTGCTTCTGCAAATATTTATTTTCGTTTGGGTCCCAAAATTTTCAATTATTACATTAATGAACCAATGCAAAGATTGAATGACAAATTGATCAAGGAAAACATTCAACTTGATTCAGAATTGTTTACATGAAGAGATAACATAAACACACCCATCATGGGCTACACTTTGTTAAAAGTAACTTCCTTTTGCTAGATATTACGGTATGTTATGTTGCCAAGTTATCAATCTCGATCGTTCAACTAGTAGAGCATTAGCTGCGTCAAACGTCTGAATGTACAATTTTCTAATTGATCGTTCCACAACATAACATATCATGCCACAACAATAACAAAATGCCACTTTTCCTAGTATTCTCTACAAATATGTAGCTATCAATCAACAGTTGCTTCAGTTCGAGTGCCTGAGGAAAGATACAGCAAAAGGGGACTACAATCCCAAAACTTTCACCCTGATAGCTGCAATGCAACAACAACGAGAGGCTGCAGGAGAAAGAGCAACGGCAGTCTACTGATCCAACACCAATTGCCGGTAGCGGTTGAGATCGGTGAGGTAGTTCGAACAAGTGTAATCTTCCAAGTCACATGCCTCTAGGACCAGTGATCTCACTGCTGTAGACTTCTTTCTCAACTGATCTGCAACGCCATCCTCGCCCTTCAGTATCTGCACTACCTGCACGCTCACAAATTATCAACATTCGTCAAACTTGCACAACGGTTGAGCAAACAAATTAACTGGAAACAAGAAACTGATATCATACCCGATTCATGTATGGACGCTTTGTGGATTGGTGACTGATGCACATTGAAGCCGTTACCATGGCTCTTTTCATCTCAATCGGATCATATGCATCCTCCAGCCGAGGATCTGCTAGCTTCTTCATATTACTCGCATCTAGAAGCGGCTTTGCCTACGTATAACACGAGAGAAAAATTGACTATCGAACTTGCAATTTTATGATACATGGAGATGGGATTGGACTCACGATCTATCCTAATTCTAACCGCTTTTCCACTTCTGAATTCCGTAAAGGCAAAAGGGGCGTAAACACAGTAAGTTTTACATAACATTTGCTTACCCATATCACAAGGCTTTGCTGAGTTGAATCAACTGCACGCCGACCTGACAGGAGCTCCAGTAATAAGACCCCATATGCAAACACATCAGTCTTCTCGTCGACAATTCCATGCATGAAGTACTCTGGAGACAAGTACCTGAAACACTTGAAGGTTCGTAAGCCTGAAAACGTATGACAGATGAAAGTTAGCAATCATAACAAACGAACAATTGAAACTGCGAACTAACCCGAATGTGCCTTCAATAGGGAATACAACATGGTGAGTCCATTTTTCTGGGAGCCACTTTGCTAGTCCAAAATCAGATATCTGCAATTACAGTTAAATAGAACTCCGATTACGTTTAGAAAATCCATAGATGAGAAGTTAGCCAGACCTGAAGAAGACAAAAAATACCTGAGCTTCATAATCTTCGGTTAGTAATATATTAGAGGCTTTGATGTCCCGGTGAATGATGCGCCTGTGGCATTCGTGATGGAGATATCGCAGACCTTGTGCTATCCCAATTGCTATCTTAAACCTGATCTTCCAATCCATACATTCTGACGTACCTGATACGCAGAATATCTTCTCATCAGCGAAACTAAAACACGATACTGGAGAAACAAACGGATTAAGAAAACAAGAACACAAATGCGGTACCAAAGAGTAGAGAAGCTAAGCTGCCATGTGGGGAAAATTGCAGGACAAGGTGCAAACCACCGTCGATGCCAAAGCCAAGTAGGCGAGCAGCATTCGGGTGCCTTATGTGTGCAATAATCCCAAGCTCTGCCAAGAAATCGCCAACTCGATCCTCGTTTTCTTTTTCGTTATCTTTCTTCATTAGCCTCTTTACTGCTACAACTGTTCCATTGTATAAGAACCCCTTGTAAACTTCTGCTTGCCCACCTTTGCCAATCAGGTTATCTGCCATGGATCAATAAGTGAAAAAATTAACCACTTCAATTATTCGCGCGGCGTAGATAAACTATAGAAAATTGATTTGGAATGCCAGAAGCTGAACCAAAAGTGCCAAAATCGCTCCCCAAAGACTAAAGAAATCGTTTTTGCTGTCAAAACAGAAACATAAATTGGAAATATTTTGACAAAAATGGGTCCAACAATATAAGTTAGTAGCAGTAAAAATCAGAATCGTGCCAAAGGTAAAGTCAATTGCAATGACAACCTACATAATTAATTAGCAGTAATATGAAGCCAAATTTTCTTCCGTTTTTAATACACATAAGAATTTTGTGTTTACTAAATTTATAAAATGAATGATACTTTTTTATTTGAAAAAAAAGTAACCAAGCTCAAGGTTTAGCCTTTCATTTTAGTATGTCCTAACAGTATCCGCATGGGGATTATCACTCTCCCCATCGCCCTTACTCAATAATAAAAAGAATGTTTTTAATAATATTTTTGATTTTTATATTATAAAGAAGAGGTCGTTGAAAGCATAAACCTAATCCTAGTTAGCTGAATCTATGATACTAGAGTAGTGGTAAAGCAGCCAGGTCCCACAATTGATTTCCAAACAAAATTTAGTCGAAAAGTTGGACTAAAAACCGAGACGGACTTGTATGAATAACGTAATGGAAAACAATGGCTCACCAGGTTTGAAATTGCCAGTAGCAGCAGCAAGCTCAGCGTAATCAAAGTTCCTCCATGACGGCTTCGTAACCGACATCTCATCAGCTCCTTCCTCCTCCTCCTCCTCCTCCTCGGTGCTCCAAATCCGAGCCAGTCTCCTCCTCAAGTTTCTCCTGGACAGTTCGTAGCTGGCAGCTAATATTGGAATGGTCGAAAACCGCCTCGCCGACTTCTTCTTCAAGGCATCGAACATTCCCTTGCCTCTCCTCTGCAACCCGTTGCTGCGCATTAGCGTCCGGTGCTGGCCCATCGTCTTTTCGGAACAAGATGACGAGGCGCAGCTGCTGCCGCTGTAGTCCGAGTCGGTGACAGGGATTTCCAACACGCCCCTCGGTGACGTGTCTTCCTCGCACGACTCCATCTTCCTCAGACCGCCTTGTGATTCTGATTCCATTTCTGGGGTTCCTTTAGTTTCTCCTACGGTCTCTGCCATTGCAATGCGCCACAAAATCGTTATGCAATGAACAAAACAAAACAAAACAAAAAACAAAAAAAAAACAGAGCAAAAGCAAAACAAAGACAAATTTCTCACCATCTTAAGATTCTATGTTTTATTTTCGGTTTTTCAGGAACCAAAATGACAACGAATGATTAGATTGGTTAGAATATCGCAATTTAGCGCAAATGTGTAGAACAGCGTGCTCGTCCTTTTGCAACCCAATTTTGAGCAACAAATCTCGTAATTTAAGTTAGATTAATTAGAACATCGCCCGAGTTAATAAATATATAGCAATGAAAGATTGAAAAATACAAAAACCCTTGAAGGGCTGCAACACAAGCCAAAAAAGGAAGAGGAGGAGGAGAAGCATATACAAAATTTTGTTCCTAAACTTTTCTTTTGCCTTTTCAGGTTGATACACCAAAACTTCCCATTCATTTTTCGCAGCCGATCAGTTTCCCTGCAACCGCCCACGCAGGGTCACAACAACCGACCGGCCGCCGCAAACACACAAAAAAAGGAAAAGTAAAAACAGAGGAGGGGCAGAGCATACCTTCCACCGCCATGGTTAGGCTTCGCAGGGTTTCCCAAATTACACAGTAGGAATTCCGGAATGGGACCCCACTAAACCAGAAGAAGAAAGAAGAGGCCCTCCTGAATACAAAAGGAGGAAAAGACTCAACTACATTGAGTTGTGGAGGGAGGGAGAGAGAGAGAGAGAGAGAGAGAGAGAAGGCAGGAGAATAAGAAGAAAAAATGCAGAGGGCAAATTTTTAGAGAAAGTAAAAATGGGATATCTTTAGGAGGTGGTTATTCTTGGAGGATCAATATAGGAAACCCAAATTCCCACCACAATTACCAACTTGGATGTCATTGGAATATATACATACATATACATACACACACACACACACACACACACGAATATATAATATGTTGCTATATTTATACACCTCTTCTGCGTTTTGGTTTTGGATATGTTGTACCCAAAACATGTTGATTATTTAAATGGTTTTATTTTATTTTATTGGGTGGTGATGTAATCGCAGCCGTTGCTTTCAGGGATCGTAAATTTTGCCGTGATGAGAGGGGGGGGACTGGGGAGTTAACGAACCAAAGGGCAACTGCCAAAGGTTGTAATTTGTAATCTGTCTTATTTAGGAGCAAGTTAATTGAGTTTCCTGTTTTTGTTAATTCTTATCCATATCGTCTGTTCTGTTGGACAAAGAATAAGAGATACGGTCTTGAATATGTCAACTCAGACAGAAATTTACACACAACAGCGTGTATACTTGTCTACCTTTGTATCTCTTATCAGATAGATTGTATACGACACACACTGGTCAAAGAAAGGTATTTCGTAAAAACAAATATTAATGTCTATAGAAACGGAATGATTTCTTATTATTCAATCCAATGAATAATTACACAGAGTTTGTTATATATAGCTGTGGGCATTCTGACATATTACATTTATGCCCTTAACAAAACTAACAATTTACTGACAAACCAAACAAACTACAATTAGTATTTATCAACACTTCGATGACTCAATCTTGGCTTCTTTACACCCCCTCAAGCTGAACTTGGAAGCATCAAAAGGACCAAGAGACAGCTTGGATTGAAGATAGAGAAATCGCTGCCGGGACAGAGATTTGGTATGAATGTCGGCCAATTGATCTTGACTACAAACATATTGAAGCTTGATAAGATGAGCAAGAACAAGTTCACGGATGTAATGATAGTCAATTTCAATATGTTTAGTCCGGGCATGGAAAATAGGATTAGAAGCTAAAGAGATTGTAGAGATATTATCACACCAAAGATGAGGAATCTGAGGTAGTGAAAACTGATATCTCTGAAAACTTTACAGATCCATGTGATTTCTGCCGATGTGTGAACTAAAGACCGGTACTCAGCTTCAGTAGATGAGCGTGCAACCGTTGACTGTTTCTTGGCACTCCAACTGATCAAATTAGAACCAAGAAAGGCGCAGTAGCCACTGGTGGACCTTTTGTCAAAGGTACACCCTACCCAATCAACATCTGAATATGCTGTAAGATGAAGATTTCCTATCCATGGGTAATAGTACCTTTCAAAAACCTGAGAATTCTTTTAGCAGCTTGAAGATGAGAATCTCGTGGAGCATGCATGAATTGACATACTTGATTCACTGCAAAAGATATGTCTGGTCGTGTCCAGGTGAGATATTGCAATGGACCCACTAAGGATCGATACTCTGTGGGATTAGACAAAAGTAAACTTGTATGATCAAGTTTGGCCGTACCTAAGGGAGTGGAACAGGGTTTGGCGCCATCCATGTTGGTCTTTTGAAGGAGATCAAGTAAATATTTTCCTTGATGTAAAAATATACCCTCAGAAGATCTGTGCACTTCAAGACCCAAAAAATAGTGTAAGGAGCCCATATATTTAACTGGAAAGACAATGCTCAGTTTGTTGATAAAATGTTGACAAAGATTAGCATTGGGGCCAGTGACTAAGATATCGTCAACATATACAAAAATTATAACCAAGGTTGGAGCTTGTAAAACAAACAGAGAAGCATCTGAAGAGGACTGCTCAAAACCAAAGGAGCACAACACTTGAAATAATTTGTCAAACCAAGCCCTGGGAGCTTGTTTAAGACCATAGAGGGATTTTTTAAGCTTGCAAACATGATTGGGAAATGAGGGATCACTGAACCCAGGAGGCTATTGCATAAAAACATCTTCTTGTAAATCACCATGCAAGAAAGCATTACTAATATCTAACTGGTTTAAAAACCAATTAAACTGAGCAGCAAGAGACAATAGTATACGAATAGAAACAGGCTTGGCTACAGGGCTGAAAGTTTCCTTATAGTCAATGCCCTCTTGTTGGTGAAAACCTTTGGCAACAAGCCGAGCCTTGTATCGATCAATAGAACCATCAGGATGTTTCTTAATCCGGAAAACCCATTTACAACCAACAACATTGTGAAGAGGAGAAGAAGGGACAAGAACCCAAGTGCCTGTAGATTGCAAAGCATTAAACTCTTCTTGCATGGCAGTTCTCCAGTGAGCATGCTTAGAAGCCTGCAAATAAGTATTGGGGACGAACTTAATGGAAGAGGGAAGAGGATGGTTGGTTGCCGAGAATGCTTTGGGTTTGAAAATTCCTACTTTTGACCGTGTAGTCATAGGATGACTATTGTGCACAGTAGCAGAAACATGAGGAATCGGAGCAGCATGTGAGTCAACAGTAGGGGCATGTGAGTCAACAGTAATGGCATGTGAGTCAATAGTGGCAATAGGTGAATGATCAGTAGTAGCAGCATGTGTGTCAGTAGTGGCAGTAGGTGGATGAACAGGAGCAACATGTGAAGAAGGATTGATAGCATGCGGAGTAGGAGCATTATGGGTGTGCAAGTCAGCAGAGGACACACACCATGATGAACTGATGAGACAGGTGCAGAAAGATGAAGGGATGTACTCTTAGGAATAGTAAACTGCAAATCCATGGAGGGAACAATTGGAGAGGCTGCATTTATTCGAGAATCACACTTGGACAATGGTTGAGAGTGCTGAAATGGAAATGTTGATTCATTAAAAACAACATGGCGAGATATATAGACCCGCTGCGTTAAAGGATCTAAGCATTGGTATCCCTTATGTTGAAGACTGTACCCCAAGAACACACAGTATTTACTTTTACTGTCCAGTTTGGAGGTTGTGTAAGGCTTAAGCCATGGAAAACAGCTGCAACCAAATACTTTGAGTCGACTGTAATCAGGTAAAATATGAAATAATAACTCCCATGGAGATTGCAATATGCCAGAAATTGGAAGTCGATTAATCAAGTATATAACAATGGAAAAGGCTTCTACCCAGAAAACATGAGGTACATTAGAAGCAACCAAAAGGGTACGAGCAGTCTCTACAAGATGACGATGTTTCCGTTCAGCACAACCATTCTGTTCAGGTGTGTGTGGACAACTAAATTGATGAATAATACCATGAGTGTTGAGAAAATTCTGTAGTGCAATACTAGTAAATTCACCCTCTGAATCAGAACGAAAAACTTTGATTTTATTACCAAGAAGATTTTCTACATAACTCTTAAACTCAACTATTACAGAATACACTTCAGACTTGGACTTTAATGGAAAGAACCAACTGTATTTACTATAGTCATCCACAAGTAACAGATAGTACCTATAACCACTTGCTAACATAACAGGAGCAGGGCCCCAAAGATCACAATGTAAAAGTTCTAAACTGGAAGAAGAAGTAGAACTAGTAGAACTGAAGGATTGCTTATGACTTTTTGCAAAAGCACAGTTGGAACAAAAAAAAGTCCACTGAAGGTCGTCCAGTAATAGAAATTTTATTCTTTGACAGAACACGCTTGAATATGGATGAAGAATGATGGCCAAGACGATTGTGCCATACTGAAATCGGTGCTTTGAGACTGATTAAGGCAGTAGTTGGAGCAGCAGAGCATGGAGGTGATGGAGATGAACATTGCAGGGGATAAAAACCATCCTTAACCGGTCCCCGCAAAAGCGTCTTCCCCGTAGAACGATCCTTTACAAAGGATCCATCAGAATGAAGTGTCAAAGAACAGTAATTATCTTTGAAAAATTGATATGCAGAAAGTAAATTGTGCTGCATTTGTGGTACATGAAGAACATTTTGCAGCTTAAAAGTAGCAGAGGGAGTGTGTAAAAAAGAGGAACCAATGTTGTTAATTTTCAAACCTTTACCATCAACAATGTAGACCTTGTCTTCACCACGATAAGGAGTAGGAGATGAAATGTTAGAAATGTCATTTGTAATGTGTGAAGTTGCACCCGAATCAATAAGCCAAGAAGGAGCAGGCTTTGAGGAAAAATGTGCACACATAACAGTAAGTTTGGTTGGAGGAACTTTACCAAAAATATCCGGATTCATGCGATCAAAACAGTCAATAGCTTCATGACTGTGTGATCCACAGATTTGACAAGTGAGAGCACTAGAGCCTTGAGAGTGGCCACCACGAAAAGTATTAGCACGAAAATTATTGCCACGGAAATTATTGCCTTTAAAGTTGCCACGATGTCCACGAGCAGTGCCTCTATAATTGCCACGATGATTTCCACGATAATTTCCACAAAAAGGTTGAGGTTGAACAGCAAACGCTTGATGTGGTGGTTGTGTAGGCAAGAGAGAAGGTTGCGATTGAGCAGCAAATGCGTGGAAAGGCTTTGTGAGGCTAGATGAAATAGCTTTCTTCTTTCGAGACATTGAGAGTTCTTTGGTGAGTAATAAACCATGCAATTCATCCAGGGTAGTGGTGGACAGACGAAGAAGAAGTGAATCAGTAAAAGATTCAAACTCATCAGGTAAGCCAGCCAGTGTAGCTGCAATTAGATCACGATCGGTGACGGGAGCACCAGCTGCCATCAAGGCATCAGAAATTTCCTTGATCTGTTGAAGATAATAAAAAATTGACTGTGAACCTTTCTGAATAGACTGAAGACGAGATCGTAACTGATGAATGTGAGCATCAGAGACACCTCCAAAACGCTGCTCAAGTTTAAGCCATAGATCCCGAGACGATGAAACACCAACAGTGAAAGGAATCACTTCTTCAGACAAAGTAGAATTCAACCAGATGAGAAGATTCTGATCTTTCACATACCAAATTTCAAAGGCTGGATTAATAGAACGATCAGGAAGAAGAGGGGAGGGACAAACCTCAGTACCATCGATAATACTCAGAAGCTTATACCTGCGCAGAATTGGGGCAAATAATGCATGCCATGGAAGATAATTGGAGCGTTTGAGTTTGATTGGCACCATACTTCCAATGTTTTGTATGGTAAGAGAGGCATACGAATTCGAAGGCGTCGTAGAACTGG